AAGACTCCGAAGACTTTTTAATTTTTTATTGAGTCTAGGATTCTTGTAAGGATGACAATATCTTTTGCACAAAACAATTTAATTTCTGAGGGATAAAAATTATTTTAGAGTCAGTTGAAAAATCACTTTTTCTCTGTCTAAAATATTTTAGTAAGTCAGTTTCAAAATAAGTGTGTCAAAATTTCTTTAAAACATTTTTTTTAAAGTTACACAATTTTCTTTGGTGAGAAAAACATACTTTAAATATTTTTTGTATACGTCGTTTGACACACAAAATAATTTTTGGACTCACTTTTTCTCCCGTATTCAAATTCATTGAATAAGGATATTATTTGTTTGAGGAGCGCTTCTTTATTCTCGCTGTCTCAAACAAGGAGTTAGAAGCCAAAGGGCTTCCAATCGCGCTTGGCTTGGGCCCTTTGTGTTTGCGCATTATTTTCATTTTAATCGATTATATCCTTTAAAATAATCGATTAGATCCAGCGCAATTTCTCAAGGATTGAATTCTTAATCGATTTTCTCTATTAAAAAAAATCGATTAGCTTGGACAGAACCTCCTAATCGATTTATTTCTTCAATTTAATCGATTTTTAAGCCTTTCGTTAGGCTGCTCAACCTTGATCAATAATCGATTATTTTTCCTCCTTTAATCGATTAGTTTGTACCGAACCTCCTAATCGATTATTTGTCTTCATTTAATCGATTATGACTCAGTTTTCTTTTCAGGCTTTTCGCTTCTGTACGCTTTAATCGATTAATATTCCTAATTTAATCGATTAATTCTCTCTAGTACAGAACATCAGCTTTCTTCAACGGCTTTATTTTCCTCAGCCTATTTAATCCCTCATTCTCCTTCATTTCAATACACACCTCTTGCACTCCAATATATTTCTTTGAGCTATTCATGCTTTGCTTCATCTTTCTTATCAAAATATTATTTTTGAGAGTTAGAAATATATTTTTTTGAGTGCTATAGAAGTTGTCATCCATAGAGCTTAAATCTTCAACACTACTTTGCTCAATTGTGTGAGCTTTCATTCTTGTGTTGTAAACTCAATCTCATTTGAGTGTTGTTCTCAAGACTTGTGTGACTCAAGTCTTGTTGTTGTAAGAAAGTGAGGCTTGTGTGATTCAAGTTCTCAAGTTGTACCGGTTTTTNGAGAAACGAAGAAGGATGCCTAAGGAGTTAAAAACAGAACGGAGAGGGGAGTTACGATATTCAGTGCCATTGTCACATTGAACATTTTTAATGGTTGTGTTAAAATGATTTTTGACATAGTTAATAAAAGTAGTGAGGTGAGTAAAAACATCAGATTTTTGTTTTAAAGGAAACACCCAAAGATAATGTGAAAAGTCATCTAGTAATAATATGTAGTGTTTGAAACCAGTAATACTGGGGACAGGGGATTGCCATAAATCAGTATGTAATAATTCAAAAGTGAAAGAGGAAATACGACATGAAGGAGAAAATGGGAGACGAACATGTTTTCCCAATTGACAAGCATGACATAAATTATTACTAGGAAAGAATTTAAAAAGACTGGAGACACTCGAGACACCACGAAGAACTGCCGGGTTGGGATGTCCAAGACGCCGATGCCATGTGTGGATGTCAACGGACGCATTGTGGACCTGAGCTGGGGGCGCAGGGAGCAAGGGGTAGAGTGGGCCGGAGTTATTGGACCGATGCATCACGGTTCCCATCCGAAGATCCTTCACAGAAAAGCCATGTGCATCAAATTCAATGGAGCAGTTATTATCACGCGTAAACTGGCGAACAGAAATAAGGTTATGGATGATATGCGGGGAGATAAGGACATTATTAAGGGAGAGGGGAGGGTTGGTGGGGAGGGTGTGGGTACCCACCACCGTAGTGCTTACCTTAGAACCATTGCCAACAATAATATGTAATGGAGAATTTGATGATTGAGAAGAGACATGAGAAATAGTACTTGGATCGGAGGCGATGTGGTGCGTGGCTCCCGTGTCAAAATACCATGTGGGTTCCCGGAGGGTCATGGTATCAAATTGGTGTGCTAGGGCTGTGGGGGTGAGGTTGGGAGCCTGCGGGTGGGGTGGTGGGGTTTGCGGGTAGGGTGATGGGTAGGGGGGGCTGTCGGGTAATGGGGTAGGGTTGGGACTGGGTAGGTTGTTTGGCCGTAGGGGTGGGGTGGGGGGTTAGGGTTAGGGTTGTAGGTGTAGTAGGCATGGGCGTTTGGATGGGTAGGGTTAGGTGGGCGCGGGCCGAGGAGACCCGAGCCGGGGTTGGGTTGCGGTGAGTTGTTCCAAGGTACGTAGCCGTCTTGCGGGTGTCGTTGCGAGCAAGAGTTTCTTCCTCGTCCACGTCCACGGCCGCCTCCACCACGACCGTAGTTGCGCCCATGCTGTCCGCGACCACCACTGCCGCCGCTATGCCCGCTGCCAGGCCCTCCACTGCCACGCCCAAAGCCGCCGCTGCTTGTGTTGGACAATGTGCTATCATGAATATGTACTTTTGCAATGTCCTTTGCCCATTGTCTTTTAGGTTTTGATAATGACAAAAAGAGACAAAACATCATCATCATTTTGTGCATCAAGGCTAAGAATCAAAGCTACAACAAGTTCATATCCGTCCATGAAGAAGGGACTTGAGCATCGGTGGAAGGAACGAGACCGAAGAGGTTGTTTCCTTAGTTGGGTAGTGTTTTAGATCTTAGATTATGTGTTGAGTATGGCATCTCTAAGGTTCATTCCCTTATCATCCTACCTTTAAAACACATTTTATATCAGCTTTTGTGTGGGGAAGTTGTCTTTCTATTCGAATAATCTCTAGTTTATTCAAATAAGTCGTGATCTTTCCTGTGAGCCAAGAAAGGAGAAGGAGAAAGAAGAAGAAGTATCAAGGTTTCCAAATCTTAAGCTCAAAAACGCAGCAGCCACTTTAAGGTAAAAACTGAAATTTTCCATCCATTATCTTGAAATACTTCTTGAACCAAAGTTGTAGCCCCGGACGATACGAATCCAGCCCAACAAACGGCTCGCGATTTCGTTAAGTAACAAAGAAGATATGGCCAAAATACCGGGACTGCGCCAGTGGTGGCGAGCTCCTCGGGTTGGCTATGTTTCCTCACCATATCCATGTTGTTTCATTCCAAACACTTACCATAAACTCTCTAACGATTATTAGGAACATCCGGAAGGTATCATAGAGAAGGTTCGGTGTTGGAATATTGAAGTTAGTGAGTTAATCGTCGGAAT